AATTACTCTCGAGCAGTAATAGAGTAATTAATGTAAACAATTATATTATAATAAGAAACATAAAATTAACTATAATGTTTTTTAAAGAAATTACCCGACAGATTGGATCCTGTTACTCGTCTCGTTCCCTGCATCAGCTATATATATCTGTGCGAATTTTGGTTGATTTCCTTCCAATGGTAGTAAACTACCAATGAGGTGATGGTTCTGTCCATTCAACCTAAATATCGGCGGTGATGTACCGATATTAATGTCCCAATCAATTTTTCCTCCCATCGATGTAAACGAAAACATACTATTGTATGAACGTATGTTTTCGACAAAATTTTTGCTTCTGTCATTAGCCCCAAATAGTAAATTGTGGAGTTCCTTTGGGGGTGATCTCATAAACGGCAAGACTATGTTTCCTTGATTACAACATAGCGTAAATTTTGGGACCTTTGGACGGTAGTGTTTCTCTACACGCTCGGCATACCAAAATATTGCTCCACAATGTTGACAAGCATATGTAGGATCACCAATATCATCATATTCTATAACCAAATATCCAAATATATAAATTTAAAACGAACATTGAGAATGAAATACAAAAAAACAGAGTAAATAATTGGATTAAGAATCGGTGATGATAATACAAAAGTTATTTCATACCTGGAGCTGAGAAGTCGAGACAGTCAACATCACATTCAACATCATCATCTGTTAGCATTAAATCTTAGTACTTTTACTATTGATATTCTTCTTATAAAAAAATTACAATTACAATAATAATAAAAAATACAATTGTAATAATATAAACTTACTATTGAAGAATTATGTTTGCAATATGAAAAAAGTGAATAGGCCGGAAATGACTTTCTTATACAGAATTAAATAGGAAACATAAAATAAACAAATCTAAAGTAGTAGATGATGCATAGTTCATGTAGCATATACACCCGTACCTGGAGAGGAAAGATCGTCGCACTGCATTTGATTTTCTAAGAACAATGATTTATAATTCATTAAAATGCATCCGTCAATGTATATATATGAAAATGCGAAACCATGTCAATAGTAAATCACATACCATCAGAGTTATCATGAGAAGCATTTGTATCATGCGGTGTAGTCTCGAGAAAATCACAATGCGTACCTTATATATATACATATATATAAGTATTGAAATAATGTTATAATAATACTTTCCATGTATCAATATTTTATAACTAAAAAGTGTTCTTATTTGATTGGATATGTAATTTCTACTATTATTTTCCTACGTACTATACATACCAGGTTGAGAAATATCCTTTGGCACGTTGGCATATTGTATTTGATTCTCTAAGAACAATGAGTTATAAGTCACTAATTTCATCTATCAATTAATATATATCAAAATGGGAAACCACGTCAATAGTAAATCACATACCATCAGAGTTACCATGAGAACAATTTGTATCATGTGTTGTGGTCTCGAGAGCATCACGATGTGTACCTTATGATAATACTTTCCATGTATCAATTATTTATAACTAAAAAATGTGTTCTTATTTGATAGAATATGTAATTTCTATTACTATTTTTCTATGGACTATACATACCAGAATGAGAAATATCCTTTGGCACATTGAAGGGAGAAGAATTAACATCTTCATTGTTATAGCGAAAATCGTTCATGAAATTGTTGCAACCAACATGTCCAGACAGCACATATGAAACTGAGCGAGCGGTGGGAGAAACTATAAGAATAAGTAAATAATTAGTGGTGTATTGTTGTTTTTTGAATTTACCTTATAAACATTTAATTACACGGATACACATATTTATACCATTTGTGATATCGGATAGAGGGTTTCTGGATCTTCTTCTAAGTGATTCATGATATTTTGCTCGTTTTGGGGCGCCGAAATCACCGCTTCCAGCATCAGGTAGTTGTGAATAATTTGATACTTCACAAACTCCTGATCTCTTGCTTGGAACATTGGCGGGATTATTAATAGTTTGATGAGTATTTTCGGCATCACTTATGGGTTCAACCCATGATGAACTACGTGACGGATGCAGTCTTCCACCATTTAAAATTGTTGATTTTGTCAATTTCTTCATTCACAGCTATCATTCATAATAATAACAACAACATTTAAAATAACAGTAGTAATAGTCATAAATAAGATATTCAACATAATTATTAAAACAGAAAGCAAGTCCAAAAATTATGCACTGGACATCTACAATTGTGAAATTGCAATTTCTTATATTAATACAATTTTGAATGAGTATCTCTAACTTGGTTTCATTGAATATAAAAAAATATCCGTAGGTCTTAAAAAAATATTCTAGCTTATGATGAAATGTGTATTAAGAACATCTTGATTTGTACAATTAATCATGAACATAGAACTTATACTCATTGTGTGATAAGGTATGGAATAATCTATTAATAATGAACAGTTCTCTGAAGATATGAAATTACTTGGCGTACAAACTTACTCCCTCCGTCCTCTTTTAAATGTCCCATTTTATCATATTGGGATGTCCCTATTTAATTGTCACATACCTTATTTGGTAAAGTTTGTGTGACTCAAAATCATTCTTACTTTATTCTTACTTTATTCTTACTTTATCTATTAATATCAACCACACAAACCTACTTTTCTTAAAACTCGTGTCACCCTCTTCCGGGACATTTAAAAGGGGACGGAGGGAGTACATATTATTAGATTCACGTACCAGTGAATAGTTAATTACTTGACATCAAATCGAACACCATCCCTTATCAGCTATCGCTCTCTTCACATAAGCCATGGATTGGAACTTGCTTGGGGAAGATGGTGTTCACCCCCTTTTTGTGGTCACCTGTGAATTATTGTGTAGCTAAAACTTGTAAATTTGCATGCACCGTTTGTGTTTTATTTAGTGTCTAATAGGGTTTGAAAGCATAAAGTCAATTATACGGAGTACTTGATTTAGTTACAATAGGAGACTTGGCTGTAAACTCCACATTGATTAAAACACAAATACCAGGAGGTGTCCGTTTATATATGGACTTTTTGAGTTGTATGGACTTGTGGCTCAGAACATTTTATTTGCTTGATCTACGGAGTATATATTATGGGTTTGTCAATTCCATTAAAGATATTACGGAGTGTTTTTTAGTGTTATAATGATATTAATTAACATCTTAATTAATTAACGTCTTAATACAATGAGGTCATTATAACAACTTTGATGTTATAACTATATTATTTTTAGAGCCCGTTTGGTAGCACGAAGATCAGCTGATTTGGCTGATTCTACTGAAATTTATAAAGTTCTTGTTGAAGTGATTGCATTGGCTGATTATGCTGATTTAAGTAAAAATTAGTTTTAAAATATATTTTATTAATAAAATATAGAAAAAATTATATTTAAAAATAGCTAAAATGGTCATCTACAGTAACTTCAACCAATACAGCCAGAAAAGTAACTTCAACCTTACTTTTTCTGCTTATTACACAATTCAGCATGCGAAAGGAAAAATTACGTCTTTGGTGAAAAAAGTTGGCTGATAAGCCCGATAAGCCAAAAAACAGTGTTGCCAAACGTCCTCTTTTTTTATGATTAAGTTCTCATTTGAAAATGCTTATTTCGTAAACAAATGTTATACTCCCCTGTCTCTTAAAACTTTTCACATTTTTGAATTTTTTGGTCAACCGTGTTGAACTTTGACTAACTAAATATATTTATAAAAATTATTTATAATACAAAAATGATATTAAAATATTCCTTATTAAGAGTACTTTCATAAAATTATAAAATGAATTACTTCCCTAAAGGTACTTTTTTTAAAGTTATAATAATCCGTAATATTAATCAACATCTTAATACAATGAGGTCATTATGACTTTTATTATATAAATATATTATTTTTAGTATTTGATGATTAAGTTCTCATTTGAGAATGTTTATTTCGTAAAATAAAAATGTGGAGCTTCAATTGGGACGTCCAATAGCTTAAGTGACAAACTTAATCTAGGACAGAGGGACAGGGAGTATCCTATAAGTAAATAAAAGTGGTGTTTTCTAGCAGGTCAGCCAAACAGAACCCGCCGTCCGGCTAAAGCCGTTAACTAATATTCCCTCAATCCTAATTTGTAAGATATGTTTCCTATTTACTTGGTCAACACAAATCACTCCTAATCTCTTACTTTATAAATCAAATTTGTTTCTGGTTGTTGAGACTTTGTAAATCTTTTAGAGCCTGTTTGGTAACACTGAAATCGGCTGAATTGACTGACTCTGCTGATTTATGAAAAAATTAAATTTAAAATATATTTAATTAATAAAATAAAGAAAAAATTATATGAAAAAAGATAAAATAGTTATCTACAATAACTTCAACCAATACAACTAAAAAAATAACTCCAACAATACTTTTTCTTATTATTAAATACCTCAGCGTGCAAAATTAAAAGTTACCTATTTGGTAAAAAAAAGTTGACTGATAAGTTAAGAAAAACAGTCACCAAACGGTAACTTAATGTAGTTTCTGAATACGCTAAAAAATTCTCAAAATATTTTGAGTACGGACAAGGATCTGTTTGCTTTACCATTTGTCAAACATCGTAAAACGTAAAGTATCTTACACAGTGGGATGGGGGGAGTATATACTTATGTGAAACTTAAAAAATTTATATTTTATGATAGCATTTTTAACAAAAAAAGATTTCATGTCATGATGATATTATCAATATTACCGTGTATAAATATATAATTGTCAAAGTTTAACATCATTGACTTCGAAAATAGTGTTTGGCTAAAATAAAAAGGGGCGGAGGGACTATTTGTATTCAATAAGCAGTTGCTTAAATGTATAACATGTATGTGTTTTTATGCCTTATTCAGTTATTTGTGCGCAGAGACAAAAAAAATCCAAACTGTTTTGGCAGGGAAGAATTCATGAAGGTAAACATAAGCAAGATTATCTCAACATTAACTAATTTAAACCAATGTAAATCAAAGTAAATCAAGAAAACCATCTCTTGAAAAACTAACATGTATGCAGTAAATACTCATCCACTAAAAATGACATGAAATTAAAGAGCAAAGATAATTCTTCATTTTTTGGCCACCTCAAACACCATCTCCAAAACCTTAAGGTTTTTCAACCTTGATAGTTTTCTGCAGTTTGCTAGTGGAGTTTTGAGTAGAAGATCCTCCATCATGTCCTTCCTCATAATCTAACAAAGACCGCTTTGACATTGGGGTAGTAGTCGTAGCATCATCAATATTCTGAAGTTCAATGATAACATTAAATATTGTTAGCTCTTTAAGTTTAAAATATCTAAATAGGGTGAGTACTAATCTAGAATGTGAATTTAAATGTTAGATGTTACATATCAATTTTTTGTGGCAAGATAATGATATGTTTACAAATTTTGAAATGAAATACATACAATACAAATATTTAGGAAGGCTATCCCCTGGTTGTCATAGATCATGGATACATGTGCCTATGGATATTTCATAAATGTTCCAAGTATATATTTGGTTGGGCTGGCCAAGTTTTGCTAATTTTCCACTTAGGCTAGAAGCAATCGAAGTAATCTTAAAGCATTAAGCCAATATACTCTTTAACTCTTGTGTTTTCAAGTGGTTTATACAAATGTTACTCCTGGATAATGATATGTTTACTTGATATGTTTTCAAGTAATCATAAAGCATTAAGCATCAATTTTATATGGCAAGATAATGATATGCTTACAAATGTTGAAATAAAAATATACATTATTCATATTTGGGAGAACATGATTATTAAATTTTTAAGCATTACTTACGTTTGATGATGTTACTCCTGGCTGACTGTAAAAAATTTCCAAATCGTCATCAGATTCCAGATCCTAGAGAATAAAATTTCAATCAATTGTTAGGCATTAAGAATGAAAAGGTCACGACAACAATAAATTAAAATAAAGTTGATTCATTTATATACCACTTGTTGTTCATCATTTGTTTTTGCCAGAAATTGGTTCATAAGATCATCATTTTGTGTGAGGCACCTCACGGAAAAAACTTTGTCACTTTTTTTAAAATCTTCCTCGCTTATATCAACCCTAAACAAAAGATGTAGACCCACTAAATCGTCAATTTCTTTTGACGTCGCTGTCTCATGAATGCCACTCTGAAAGATAAAAAATATAAAATTTATTATTTATTCAAATACATATTTAACATACTTTTAGAGAATTACTTAAAACAATTATTTTGAATTATCATACCAGATTCAGTTGTTCTCTGAGTTGGCCCGCAGTTTTGTGCAACAACTGACGACACTCGTGATCCCACAGACATAACGTAACAGAGCCCGAAGAATCCTTCACGATAACAGTAATTTTATATCGGTGTATTCCCTGGTCGAACACCTCATTGCATTTAGAGCACTTAAACTTGTCGCCGTGAGCAGAGGCCTTTTTAGAGCAAGACTCTTTTACACACCCTTGATAGGACCAAGCTCTTCGATTGAGAATATTTGTGATTTTACCAAAGATCCAACATCGGGACCTCTAAATTATGTTCACAATTAAAATATGTTAAAAACGAAGTATAGAGTAATCTCACAAAATGAGTTAAATTAAAATTCAAATAGCCTAACCTTAGAAATTGCAAGCAGTTCAGACACTGACTTAACTAATGCAGGATCTATAAAAAAACCGGTGGAGTTTGCAGATGATGAAGACTGTGAGCTGGCTACCAACCTTAAAGGAAAATAGTTAGATATCAAGAAGTAACTAATAATCAATATTTAGTAAAAGTATATAGATTCAAATGTTTAATATATGATAATGATTTCTACATCTCATTTTCATTTTTTATATTCTAAATATTGGCATATTTTTGTCAATAATCAAGTATGAATAAACATTCTAATTAAAAAGTTACTTTATGAATGCATTTAGTGCTACCAATCTATATTAAATCAATTTGTGGGAAGAAGCATCTTACTTAGTACGGAAGTCCTCAATTTCAGGGATACTCTCGTCCACTATAACCTTTGTACAGTAAAAGGAGTTTGCAAGAATGACCTCACCTATAATATTTTATATGTTATCTCTATCAAGTATAGAGAATACATAAATAACTATAGTACATGAATTAATAAATGTTTTACCATAGTCAGTCTTTGCTCTACACAACTGAAGCAGCATGATGTGTGGTTCGGCCGAAGTACTGGGCATATTCCTCAAAGCCTGTGCATACTCACCCCATAGTGTACACGACAACTGATTTTTACTGTTGGCATAAAATATAGATAGAACAAATGCAAGATTCAGCAACTCATGTAAATGGAAATTGTTATTAAATAATTACTTCTAAAAGATTGTTATGATGTGAGTTTATACTCCAGATCTTCGAGGATGAATTCTGCTGCTCGCGGCAATCCATCTGGTTGCAAGGAATATTTGATGTTGTGAAACTTAAACTTTCCAATTGTATCTGTAAAAACCGAAGCAAAAAATTTAGTTCTGTGAGGATAAACTCTTTAAAGTCAAATACAATGTTATGACTTATTACCGAATAAGTCATCTCCAGCTCTTCTATGAGTATTTTTTATCTCGGTGAAACTTTTTAATGAATACAAATCCTTTGGGAATTCTGTCTCTGATGAAAGATCACGCTCCTTGATCTTTGTGCTCTCCTTAAAATATAACCTGAAAGGATGTGAAGTAGGCCTGTAATCACCGTTATTAGCCCTAACTTCAAAACGCATCATTCCATAAAGACCATGCTCCTTGATTTTGCCCTTGAAGGTAGAAACATGAGTATTTTCAATTGTAGCTTGTATGCGTGTTCCCTGCATGAATATTAAAAATAGAAACTATTGGTTAAGCTTGTTTTCACTTCAAAGTTTATAAAAAAAACAGGCACTATTACTTCCCAAAGATTGTTGGAAAAAATAAATAAAGCAGTTCGTAGGTATATTAGTTAGCATGAAACCACGGTATAAATGTTCCGATACAATCATTCCAAAGGTTGGTTCTGCAGGAGACATATTTAAACATATGCATACATAGGTTTTCTAGCTTTTAAAAGTGAAAAGAAAAACAACAGTCTGGTATTTTAGTTTCTCAAAAAAAAAAAAACAGGCTGGTATTTTAGTATCTCAATAAAAGAAAACAACGGGCTGGTATATGTTAAGCTTGGTTCTCTAAAACATATTCAAACATATGCATAATGAATAAGAATCAACATAAGTTATGGTTTTACATATTAAGTTGCTGAATCACACTTATATTGACATGAACCATGATAATTAACCAAGAATAGGCAATGTTAAGTGAAAATCAGACTTAGAACGATGATTAGCCGTACACAAAGTATTTGAAAATCAGTATCTCAATGATGATAAGCCATACAAAAGTATTTGAAATATCTTTAGAAACCCAGCCTTTGTATTTTAGCATGGAGATTAAATCAAAATACTTGAAAAGCTTGGTTCTGCATGAGACATATTTAAACATATGCATACAAAGGTTTTTTAGATTTTAAAAGTGAAAAGAAAAACAACAGGCTGGTATTTTAGTTTCTCTAAAAAAAAAGCAGCGGGCCGGTATTTTAGTATCTCAATAAAAGAAAACAACAGGCTGGTATATGTTAAGCTTGGTTCTCTAAGTCATATTCAAACATATGCATAATGAATAAGAATCAACATAAGTTATGGTTTTACATATTAAGTTGCTGAATCACACTTATATTGACATAAAACATGATAATTAACCAAGAATAGTGAATGCTTTACTGAAAATCAGACTTAGAACGATGATTAGCCACACACAAAGTATTTGAAAATCAGTATCTCAATGATGATTAGCCATACAAAAGTATTTGAAATATCTTTAGAAACCTAGCCTTTGTATTTCAGCATGGAGATTAAATCAAAATACTTGAAAAGCTTGGTTCTGCAGGAGACATATTTAAACATATGCATACAAAGGTTTTTTAGATTTTAAAAGTGAAAAGAAAAACAACAGGCTGGTATTTTAGTTTCTCAAAAAAAAAAAGCAGCGGGCCGGTATTTTAGTATCTCAATAAAAGAAAACAACAGGCTGGTATATGTTAAGCTTGGTTCTCTAAGTCATATTCAAACATATGCATAATGAATAAGAATCAACATAAGTTATGGTTTTACATATTAAGTTGCTGAATCACACTTATATTGACATAAAACATGATAATTAACCAAGAATAGGCAATGTTAACTGAAAATCAGACTTAGAACGATGATTAGCCACACACAAAGTATTTGAAAATCAGTATCTCAATGATGATTAGCCATACAAAAGTATTTGAAATATCTTTAGAAACCTAGCCTTTGTATTTCAGCATGGAGATTAAATCAAAATACTTGAAAAGCTTGGTTCTGCAGGAGACATATTTAAACATATGCATACAAAGGTTTTTTAGATTTTAAAAGTGAAAAGAAAAACAACAGGCTGGTATTTTAGTTTCTCAAAAAAAAAGCAGCGGGCCGGTATTTTAGTATCTCAATAAAAGAAAACAACAGGCTGGTATATGTTAAGCTTGGTTCTCTAAGTCATATTCAAACATATGCATAATGAATAAGAATCAACATAAGTTATGGTTTTACATATTAAGTTGCTGAATCACACTTATATTGACATAAAACATGATAATTAACCAAGAATAGGCAATGTTAAGTGAAAATCAGACTTTGAACGATGATTAGCCATACACAACGTATTAGGGTTTAGAATTACAATGATGATTAGCCATACAAAAGTATTTGAAATATCTTTAGAAACCCAGCCTTTGTATTTTAGCATGGAATTTAAATCAAACTACTTGAAAAGCTTGGTTCTGCAGGAGACATACTTAAACATATGCATACAAAGGTTTTCTAGCTTTTAAAAGTGAAAAGAAAAACAACAGGCTGGTATTTTAGTATCTCAATAAAAGAAAACAACAGGCTGGTATATGTTAAGCTTGGTTCTCTAAGTCATATTCAAACATATGCATAATGAATAAGAATCAACATAAGTTATGGTTTTACATATTAAGTTGCTGAATCACACTTATATTGACATAAAACATGATAATTAACCAAGAATAGGCAATGTTAAGTGAAAATCAGATTGTGTGTAAACATATCTTATCAATACCACTCCAGAAATTACATCATGTTTTGTAATTGCTCTTTCATGACCTGAACAGTTGAACATAGTTTTCTGAACTGAGCAATTTCAATGCACTATCTAATTACAGGTGTATTTATTTATATCGTTTGGAAAAATTGATGAAGGTAAGGGTAAGCAAAATTATCACATCAATATCACCTTCAATAATTGCAGCAACTTCATTGACTTCAGGCTCATTGTAAACCCTTCCATTGTTGTGCCTTGTGCCAATCAGTTTCAGTTTGAAATCTACCACATCAGAATTATTGAATCGATCTCTAGCCATTCTGAATGATTTAACGTGAACATTACGTTGATCGAGCATGTTTTGTAGTTCACGAACGGTCTCAGGATTTAACTTATTATCTGTTGGCTTTCCCCTTTGAGTTGTAAAAAATAGTAATAAGTGACTCAATCTCAAGAATATATAACATTAAAATTCAATAAAAAAAACTATGAATTACTCTCGAGCAGTAATAGAGTAATTAATGTAAACAATTATATTATAATAAGAAACATAAAATTAACTATAATGTTTTTTAAAGAAATTACCCGACAGATTGGATCCTGTTACTCGTCTCGTTCCCTGCATCAGCTATATATATCTGTGCGAATTTTGGTTGATTTCCTTCCAATGGTAGTAAACTACCAATGAGGTGATGGTTCTGTCCATTCAACCTAAATATCGGCGGTGATGTACCGATATTAATGTCCCAATCAATTTTTCCTCCCATCGATGTAAACGAAAACATACTATTGTATGAACGTATGTTTTCGACAAAATTTTTGCTTCTGTCATTAGCCCCAAATAGTAAATTGTGGAGTTCCTTTGGGGGTGATCTCATAAACGGCAAGACTATGTTTCCTTGATTACAACATAGCGTAAATTTTGGGACCTTTGGACGGTAGTGTTTCTCTACACGCTCGGCATACCAAAATATTGCTCCACAATGTTGACAAACATATGTAGGATCACCAATATCATCATATTCTATAACCAAATATCCAAATATATAAATTTAAAACGAACATTGAGAATGAAATACAAAAAAACATAGTAAATAATTGGATTAAGAATCGGTGATGATAATACAAAAGTTATTTCATACCTGGAGCTGAGAAGTCGAGACAGTCAACATCACATTCAACATCATCATCTGTTAGCATTAAATCTTAGTACTTTTACTATTGATATTCTTCTTATAAAAAAATTACAATTACAATAATAATAAAAAATACAATTGTAATAATATAAACTTACTATTGAAGAATTATGTTTGCAATATGAAAAAAGTGAATAGGCCGGAAATGACTTTCTTATACAGAATTAAATAGGAAACATAAAATAAACAAATCTAAAGTAGTAGATGATGCATAGTTCATGTAGCATATACACCCGTACCTGGAGAGGAAAGATCGTCGCACTGCATTTGATTTTCTAAGAACAATGATTTATAATTCATTAAAATGCATCCGTCAATGTATATATATGAAAATGCGAAACCATGTCAATAGTAAATCACATACCATCAGAGTTATCATGAGAAGCATTTGTATCATGCGGTGTAGTCTCGAGAAAATCACAATGCGTACCTTATATATATATACATATATATAAGTATTGAAATAATGTTATAATAATACTTTCCATGTATCAATATTTTATAACTAAAAAGTGTTATTATTTGATTGGATATGTAATTTCTACTATTATTTTCCTACGTACTATACATACCAGGTTGAGAAATATCCTTTGGCACGTTGGCATATTGTATTTGATTCTCTAAGAACAATGAGTTATAAGTCACTAATTTCATCTATCAATTAATATATATCAAAATGGGAAACCACGTCAATAGTAAATCACATACCATCAGAGTTACCATGAGAACAATTTGTATCATGTGTTGTGGTCTCGAGAGCATCACGATGTGTACCTTATGATAATACTTTCCATGTATCAATTATTTATAACTAAAAAATGTGTTCTTATTTGATAGAATATGTAATTTCTATTACTATTTTTCTATGGACTATACATACCAGAATGAGAAATATCCTTTGGCACATTGAAGGGAGAAGAATTAACATCTTCATTGTTATAGCGAAAATCGTTCATGAAATTGTTGCAACCAACATGTCCAGACAGCACATATGAAACTGAGCGAGCGGTGGGAGAAACTATAAGAATAAGTAAATAATTAGTGGTGTATTGTTGTTTTTTGAATTTACCTTATAAACATTTAATTACACGGATACACATATTTATACCATTTGTGATATCGGATAGAGGGTTTCTGGATCTTCTTCTAAGTGATTCATGATATTTTGCTCGTTTTGGGGCGCCGAAATCACCGCTTCCAGCATCAGGTAGTTGTGAATAATTTGATACTTCACAAACTCCTGATCTCTTGCTTGGAACATTGGCGGGATTATTAATAGTTTGATGAGTATTTTCGGCATCACTTATGGGTTCAACCCATGATGAACTACGTGACGGATGCAGTCTTCCACCATTTAAAATTGTTGATTTTGTCAATTTCTTCATTCACAGCTATCATTCATAATAATAACAACAACATTTAAAATAACAGTAGTAATAGTCATAAATAAGATATTCAACATAATTATTAAAACAGAAAGCAAGTCCAAAAATTATGCACTGGACATCTACAATTGTGAAATTGCAATTTCTTATATTAATACAATTTTGAATGAGTATCTCTAACTTGGTTTCATTGAATATAAAAAAATATCCGTAGGTCTTAAAAAAATATTCTAGCTTATGATGAAATGTGTATTAAGAACATCTTGATTTGTACAATTAATCATGAACATAGAACTTATACTCATTGTGTGATAAGGTATGGAATAATCTATTAATAATGAACAGTTCTCTGAAGATATGAAATTACTTGGCGTACAAACTTACTCCCTCCGTCCTCTTTTAAATGTCCCATTTTATCATATTGGGATGTCCCTATTTAATTGTCACATACCTTATTTGGTAAAGTTTGTGTGACTCAAAATCATTCTTACTTTATTCTTACTTTATTCTTACTTTATCTATTAATATCAACCACACAAACCTACTTTTCTTAAAACTCGTGTCACCCTCTTCCGGGACATTTAAAAGGGGACGGAGGGAGTACATATTATTAGATTCACGTACCAGTGAATAGTTAATTACTTGACATCAAATCGAACACCATCCCTTATCAGCTATCGCTCTCTTCACATAAGCCATGGATTGGAACTTGCTTGGGGAAGATGGTGTTCACCCCCTTTTTGTGGTCACCTGTGAATTATTGTGTAGCTAAAACTTGTAAATTTGCATGCACCGTTTGTGTTTTATTTAGTGTCTAATAGGGTTTGAAAGCATAAAGTCAATTATACGGAGTACTTGATTTAGTTACAATAGGAGACTTGGCTGTAAACTCCACATTGATTAAAACACAAATACCAGGAGGTGTCCGTTTATATATGGACTTTTTGAGTTGTATGGACTTGTGGCTCAGAACATTTTATTTGCTTGATCTACGGAGTATATATTATGGGTTTGTCAATTCCATTAAAGATATTACGGAGTGTTTTTTAGTGTTATAATGATATTAATTAACATCTTAATTAATTAACATCTTAATACAATGAGGTCATTATAACAACTTTGATGTTATAACTATATTATTTTTAGAGCCCGTTTGGTAGCACGAAGATCAGCTGATTTGGCTGATTCTACTGAAATTTATAAAGTTCTTGTTGAAGTGATTGCATTGGCTGATTATGCTGATTTAAGTAAAAATTAGTTTTAAAATATATTTTATTAATAAAATATAGAAAAAATTATATTTAAAAATAGCTAAAATGGTCATCTACAGTAACTTCAACCAATACAGCCAGAAAAGTAACTTCAACCTTACTTTTTCTGCTTATTACACAATTCAGCATGCGAAAGGAAAAATTACGTCTTTGGTGAAAAAAGTTGGCTGATAAGCCCGATAAGCCAAAAAACAGTGTTGCCAAACGTCCTCTTTTTTTATGATTAAGTTCTCATTTGAAAATGCTTATTTCGTAAACAAATGTTATACTCCCCTGTCTCTTAAAACTTTTCACATTTTTGAATTTTTTGGTCAACCGTGTTGAACTTTGACTAACTAAATATATTTATAAAAATTATTTATAATACAAAAATGATATTAAAATATTCCTTATTAAGAGTACTTTCATAAAATTATAAAATGAATTACTTCCCTAAAGGTACTTTTTTTAAAGTTATAATAATCCGTAATATTAATCAACATCTTAATACAATGAGGTCATTATGACTTTTATTATATAAATATATTATTTTTAGTATTTGATGATTAAGTTCTCATTTGAGAATGTTTATTTCGTAAAATAAAAATGTGGAGCTTCAATTGGGACGTCCAATAGCTTAAGTGACAAACTTAATCTAGGACAGAGGGACAGGGAGTATCCTATAAGTAAATAAAAGTGGTGTTTTCTAGCAGGTCAGCCAAACAGAACCCGCCGTCCGGCTAAAGCCGTTAACTAATATTCCCTCAATCCTAATTTGTAAGATATGTTTCCTATTTACTTGGTCAACACAAATCACTCCTAATCTCTTACTTTATAAATCAAATTTGTTTCTGGTTGTTGAGACTTTGTAAATCTTTTAGAGCCTGTTTGGTAACACTGAAATCGGCTGAATTGACTGACTCTGCTGATTTATGAAAAAATTAAATTTAAAATATATTTAATTAATAAAATAAAGAAAAAATTATATGAAAAAAGATAAAATAGTTATCTACAATAACTTCAACCAATACAACTAAAAAAATAACTCCAACAATACTTTTTCTTATTATTAAATACCTCAGCGTGCAAAATTAAAAGTTACCTATTTGGTAAAAAAAAGTTGACTGATAAGTTAAGAAAAACAGTCACCAAACGGTAACTTAATGTAGTTTCTGAATACGCTAAAAAATTCTCAAAATATTTTGAGTACGGACAAGGATCTGTTTGCTTTACCATTTGTCAAACATCGTAAAACGTAAAGTATCTTACACAGTGGGATGGGGGGAGTATATACTTATGTGAAACTTAAAAAATTTATATTTTATGATAGCATTTTTAACAAAAAAAGATTTCATGTCATGATGATATTATCAATATTACCGTGTATAAATATATAATTGTCAAAGTTTAACATCATTGACTTCGAAAATAGTGTTTGGCTAAAATAAAAAGGGGCGGAGGGACTATTTGTATTCAATAAGCAGTTGCTTAAATGTATAACATGTATGTGTTTTTATGCCTTATTCAGTTATTTGTGCGCAGAGACAAAAAAAATCCAAACTGTTTTGGCAGGGAAGAATTCATGAAGGTAAACATAAGCAAGATTATCTCAACATTAACTAATTTAAACCAATGTAAATCAAAGTAAATCAAGAAAACCATCTCTTGAAAAACTAACATGTATGCAGTAAATACTCATCCACTAAAAATGACATGAAATTAAAGAGCAAAGATAATTCTTCATTTTTTGGCCACCTCAAACACCATCTCCAAAACCTTAAGGTTTTTCAACCTTGATAGTTTTCTGCAGTTTGCTAGTGGAGTTTTGAGTAGAAGATCCTCCATCATGTCCTTCCTCATAATCTAACAAAGACCGCTTTGACATTGGGGTAGTAGTCGTAGCATCATCAATATTCTGAAGTTCAATGATAACATTAAATATTGTTAGCTCTTTAAGTTTAAAATATCTAAATAGGGTGAGTACTAATCTAGAATGTGAATTTAAATGTTAGATGTTACATATCAATTTTTTGTGGCAAGATAATGATATGTTTACAAATTTTGAAATGAAATACATACAATACAAATATTTAGGAAGGCTATCCCCTGGTTGTCATAGATCATGGATACATGTGCCTATGGATATTTCATAAATGTTCCAAGTATATATTTGGTTGGGCTGGCCAAGTTTTGCTAATTTTCCACTTAGGCTAGAAGCAATCGAAGTAATCTTAAAGCATTAAGCCAATATACTCTTTAACTCTTGTGTTTTCAAGTGGTTTATACAAATGTTACTCCTGGATAATGATATGTTTACTTGATATGTTTTCAAGTAATCATAAAGCATTAAGCATCAATTTTATATGGCAAGATAATGATATGCTTACAAATGTTGAAATAAAAATATACATTATTCATATTTGGGAGAACATGATTATTAAATTTTTAAGCATTACTTACGTTTGATGATGTTACTCCTGGCTGACTGAAAAAAATTTCCAAATCGTCATCAGATTCCAGATCCTAGAGAATAAAATTTCAATCAATTGTTAGGCATTAAGAATGAAAAGGTCACGACAACAATAAATTAAAATAAAGTTGATTCATTTATATACCACTTGTTGTTCATCATTTGTTTTTGCCAGAAATTGGTTCATAAGATCATCATTTTGTGTGAGGCACCTCACGGAAAAAACTTTGTCACTTTTTTTAAAATCTTCCTCGCTTATATCAACCCTAAACAAAAGATGTAGACCCACTAAATCGTCAATTTCTTTTGACGTCGCTGTCTCATGAATGCCACTCTGAAAGATAAAAAATATAAAATTTATTATTTATTCAAATACATATTTAACATACTTTTAGAGAATTACTTAAAACAATTATTTTGAATTATCATACCAGATTCAGTTGTTCTCTGAGTTGGCCCGCAGTTTTGTGCAACAACTGACGACACTCGTGATCCCACAGACATAACGTAACAGAGCCCGAAGAATCCTTCACGATAACAGTAATTTTATATCGGTGTATTCCCTGGTCGAACACCTCATTGCATTTAGAGCACTTAAACTTGTCGCCGTGAGCAGAGGCCTTTTTAGAGCAAGACTCTTTTACACACCCTTGATAGGACCAAGCTCTTCGATTGAGAATATTTGTGATTTTACCAAAGATCCAACATCGGGACCTCTAAATTATGTTCACAATTAAAATATGTTAAAAACGAAGTATAGAGTAATCTCACAAAATGAGTTAAATTAAAATTCAAATAGCCTAACCTTAGAAATTGCAAGCAGTTCAGACACTGACTTAACTAATGCAGGATCTATAAAAAAACCGGTGGAGTTTGCAGATGATGAAGACTGTGAGCTGGCTACCAACCTTAAAGGAAAATAGTTAGATATCAAGAAGTAACTAATAATCAATATTTAGTAAAAGTATATAGATTCAAATGTTTAATATATGATAATGATTTCTACATCTCATTTTCATTTTTTATATTCTAAATATTGGCATATTTTTGTCAATAATCAAGTATGAATAAACATTCTAATTAAAAAGTTACTTTATGAATGCATTTAGTGCTACCAATCTATATTAAATCAATTTGTGGGAAGAAGCATCTTACTTAGTACGGAAGTCCTCAATTTCAGGGATACTCTCGTCCACTATAACCTTTGTACAGTAAAAGGAGTTTGCAAGAATGACCTCACCTATAATATTTTATATGTTATCTCTATCAAGTATAGAGAATACATAAATAACTATAGTACATGAATTAATAAATGTTTTACCATAGTCAGTCTTTGCTCTACACAACTGAAGCAGCATGATGTGTGGTTCGGCCGAAGTACTGGGCATATTCCTCAAAGCCTGTGCATACTCACCCCATAGTGTACACGACAACTGATTTTTACTGTTGGCATAAAATATAGATAGAACAAATGCAAGATTCAGCAACTCATGTAAATGGAAATTGTTATTAAATAATTACTTCTAAAAGATTGTTATGATGTGAGTTTATACTCCAGATCTTCGAGGATGAATTCTGCTGCTCGCGGCAATCCATCTGGTTGCAAGGAATATTTGATGTTGTGAAACTTAAACTTTCCAATTGTATCTGTAAAAACAATGTTATGACTTATTACCGAATAAGTCATCTCCAGCTCTTCTATGAGTATTTTTTATCTCGGTGAAACTTTTTAATGAATACAAATCCTTTGGGAATTCTGTCTCTGATGAAAGATCACGCTCCTTGATCTTTGTGCTCTCCTTAAAATATAACCTGAAAGGATGTGAAGTAGGCCTGTAATCACCGTTATTAGCCCTAACTTCAAAACGCATCATTCCATAAAGACCATGCTCCTTGATTTTGCCCTTGAAGGTAGAAACATGAGTATTTTCAATTGTAGCTTGTATGCGTGTTCCCTGCATGAATATTAAAAATAGAAACTATTGGTTAAGCTTGTTTTCACTTCAAAGTTTATAAAAAAAAACAGGCACTATTACTTCCCAAAGATTGTTGGAAAAAATAAATAAAGCAGTTCGTAGGTATATTAGTTAGCATGAAACCACGGTATAAATGTTCCGATACAATCATTCCAAAGGTTGGTTCTGCAGGAGACATATTTAAACATATGCATACATAGGTTTTCTAGCTTTTAAAAGTGAAAAGAAAAACAACAGTCTGGTATTTTAGTTTCTCAAAAAAAAAAACAGGCTGGTATTTTAGTATCTCAATAAAAGAAAACAACGGGCTGGTATATGTTAAGCTTGGTTCTCTAAGTCATATTCAAACATATGCATAATGAATAAGAATCAACATAAGTTATGGTTTTACATATTAAGTTGCTGAATCACACTTATATTGACATGAACCATGATAATTAACCAAGAATAGGCAATGTTAAGTGAAAATCAGACTTAGAACGATGATTAGCCGTACACAAAGTATTTGAAAATCAGTATCTCAATGATGATAAGCCATACAAAAGTATTTGAAATATCTTTAGAAACCCAGCCTTTGTATTTTAGCATGGAGATTAAATCAAAATACTTGAAAAGCTTGGTTCTGCATGAGACATATTTAAACATATGCATACAAAGGTTTTTTAGATTTTAAAAGTGAAAAGAAAAACAACAGGCTGGTATTTTAGTTTCTCTAAAAAAAAAGCAGCGGGCCGGTATTTTAGTATCTCAATAAAAGAAAACAACAGGCTGGTATATGTTAAGCTTGGTTCTCTAAGTCATATTCAAACATATGCATAATGAATAAGAATCAACATAAGTTATGGTTTTACATATTAAGTTGCTGAATCACACTTATATTGAAATAAAACATGATAATTAACCAAGAATAGGCAATGTTAAGTGAAAATCAGACTTAGAACGATGATTAGCCACACACAAAGTATTTGAAAATCAGTATCTCAATGATGATTAGCCATACAAATGTATTTGAAATATCTTTAGAAACCCAGCCTTTGTATTTCAGCATGGAGATTAAATCAAAATACTTGAAAAGCTTGGTTCTGCATGAGACATATTTAAACATATGCATACAAAGGTTTTTTAGATTTTAAAAGTGAAAAGAAAAACAACAGGCTGGTATTTTAGTTTCTCTAAAAAAAAAGCAGCGGGCCGGTATTTTAGTATCTCAATAAAAGAAAACAACAGGCTGGTATATGTTAAGCTTGGTTCTCTAAGTCATATTCAAACATATGCATAATGAATAAGAATCAACATAAGTTATGGTTTTACATATTAAGTTGCTGAATCACACTTATATTGACATAAAACATGATAATTAACCAAGAATAGTGAATGCTTTACTGAAAATCAGACTTAGAACGATGGTTAGCCACACACAAAGTATTTGAAAATCAGTATCTCAATGATGATTAGCCATACAAAAGTATTTGAAATATCTTTAGAAACCTAGCCTTTGTATTTCAGCATGGAGATTAAATCAAAATACTTGAAAAGCTTGGTTCTGCAGGAGACATATTTAAACATATGCATACAAAGGTTTTTTAGATTTTAAAAGTGAAAAGAAAAACAACAGGCTGGTATTTTAGTTTCTCAAAAAAAAAAGCAGCGGGCCAGTATTTTAGTATCTCAATAAAAGAAAACAACAGGCTGGTATATGTTAAGCTTGGTTCTCTAAGTCATATTCAAACATATGCATAATGAATAAGAATCAACATAAGTTATGGTTTTACATATTAAGTTGCTGAATCACACTTATATTGACATAAAACATGATAATTAACCAAGAATAGGCAATGTTAACTGAAAATCAGACTTAGAACGATGATTAGCCACACACAAAGTATTTGAAAATCAGTATCTCAATGATGATTAGCCATACAAAAGTATTTGAAATATCTTTAGAAACCTAGCCTTTGTATTTCAGCATGGAGATTAAATCAAAATACTTGAAAAGCTTGGTTCTGCAGGAGACATATTTAAACATATGCATACAAAGGTTTTTTAGATTTTAAAAGTGAAAAGAAAAACAACAGGCTGGTATTTTAGTTTCTCAAAAAAAAAAGCAGCGGGCCGGTATTTTAGTATCTCAATAAAAGAAAACAACAGGCTGGTATATGTTAAGCTTGGTTCTCTAAGTCATATTCAAACATATGCATAATGAATAAGAATCAACATAAGTTATGGTTTTACATATTAAGTTGCTGAATCACACTTATATTGACATAAAACATGATAATTAACCAAGAATAGGCAATGTTAAGTGAAAATCAGACTTTGAACGATGATTAGCCATACACAACGTATTAGGGTTTAGAATTACAATGATGATTAGCCATACAAAAGTATTTGAAATATCTTTAGAAACCCAGCCTTTGTATTTTAGCATGGAGTTTAAATCAAACTACTTGAAAAGCTTGGTTCTGCAGGAGACATACTTAAACATATGCATACAAAGGTTTTCTAGCTTTTAAAAGTGAAAAGAAAAACAACAGGCTGGTATTTTAGTATCTCAATAAAAGAAAACAACAGGCTGGTATATGTTAAGCTTGGTTCTCTAAGTCATATTCAAACATATGCATAATGAATAAGAATCAACATAAGTTATGGTTTTACATATTAAGTTGCTGAATCGCACTTATATTGACATAAAACATGATAATTAACCAAGAATAGGCAATGTTAAGTGAAAATCAGATTGTGTGTAAACATATCTTATCAATACCACTCCAGAAATTACATCATGTTTTGTAATTGCTCTTTCATGACCTGAACAGTTGAACATAGTTTTCTGAACTGAGCAATTTCAATGCACTATCTAATTACAGGTGTATTTATTTATATCGTTTGGAAAAATTGATGAAGGTAAGGGTAAGCAAAATTATCACAACAATAACTAATTTAAAACAAAGCATGATATGTTCTGGATCTTAGAAACACTCATTATTTATTCATAAGTTTTACGCCCTAAACCATATTTCTGAAAGAATAAATATCAAAGTATTTCATTCAAGAAAATCAACAGGAAATAAGTAGCTAAAAAAGAATAAAAACTTCATTTCTGCATTCTAAGATCAGAAATACTATAGACGTAAGGATCAGACTTCAAATTTAAAAGAAACAATGTAATGCATTCTAAACTCATCATATTGATAAGAGAAGACATCCAAATGAAATACTAAACAATGCTATAAGTGAAAAATTATCAAAATACTTAACAAACTTTCATTAAAATATTTGCAATTTCAAACTGATGGCTGCTGCCATGTAGTATCAAGTGAAGGGTGGCTAAAAGCATCTATGAAATAAAATAAACAACTCCACATTTGATATGTTCCAACGCTCCATAAATATTAAAAATAATCTAATATTTAGAGATGATATTTGCAAAAACAAAAGGTTTGATAGATGTCTCTTACTAACACTCATTATTTATTCATAACTTTGAAGTCCTAAACCATATTTCAGAAAGAATAAATATCAAAGTATTTCAATGATTCAATCAACAAACTCAAAAGGAAATAAATATCTAAAAAATGATCAAAATCTCCATTGCTGCATTTTATCAAACACCTTAAGGGCGTTGCCCTTTGAACAGCCTCCGTTTAACCAATCCAAAGAAATCTTACAACATAGGGGTTTTTGACATAATATATAAAATGGAATACAACAGGCAGTGGCAGTTGTAGAAATCAGAACAAAGCACCAAAGCAAATGTAAAAGTACACTAAAAAATGAGTAATTAATAATAATTTTACCTCCTCATCCATGAGAACCATGTCAATCATGTATGGTTCGGAGGAATTTCCCTTGTCAGGAACAATCCACATATGTACGACTCTCACCAACAACACACCCTTGTCGTCCAGTTGCGTAGTAACATCCTTCAAAAG